AAGAAGAAGAATCAGCTAAGCGAGCTGTCCACTGTGGAGCTCACCGAGTAGTACTCAGCCATTATGCAGAACAAGTTTCAGCATAAACAGAGGGACCCATGTTGTTTTACTATCTCGTGCTCTATTGTTAAATTACATGTAGAGAGGTCATTGGCGGATCTAGGTGCTAGTATCAATGTTATAACATATAAATTGTTCAAGAAACTAGGCCTAGGTGAACCAAATGCAACTAGGATGAGTATCCAACTAGCTGACCGATCAATAGTTCATCCTAGAGGCATAGTGGAAGACCTCCTGGTTCAGGTTGACAGATTCTTTTATCCTAAGGATTTTGTTGTCTTAGACATCAATGAGGATGAAGAAGTGCCCCTGATACTAGGCATGCCTTTCCTGGCCACCGTCGTGGCTCTTATTAATGTGCATGATGGGACCTTAGTTTTGAGGAATGGTGAGGAGCAGATAACTTTTTCCATCGCTAATAACATGACTTCTCCCTCACCTTTGCATGTCTCACCAGGTGCACGAGTATGTCGTATATCCTTCTATGTCTCCCATTTTGCAGGAGGGGCTCAAGGAGGAGTGACGGCCAAAGATGTTGTCATACAAGCCTAGCAAAACGAAAGCTGGAGACCACTATGAGCTAGTCCAGGCTCCTGAGCCACAAACCCCTTGGTCATTCGAGTATTCACTCGCGTGCATCCAACCGGATGGCCAGGTGAAGTTGACTTGTGTTGGTGGCCACATCCACCGTGTGCATGGCCACAATTTGAGGATGTACCTCAAGAGTGATGTGGATCCGCTCTTGGAGGCACCTGACCCTAATCCACTATGAGCATCCACCTGTTGCGTCTAGCTAAAGACGTAAAAGAAAGCACTTGTGGGGAGGGGAGGCAACCCCAACATGGTTTGCTCCATGTGTTTGCGGAACATGAACTGAGTCCTTTGTGTGTTTGGTTTTATTTTTGTTTTCTTTGTATGCCCATTTGGGCTGACAACTATCTCTAACAAATAAGTGCTCTAGTGGTGTTTCTGAGACCTTCTCTTGTAGCGACTGATCCCTTTTCCAGTTCTGTGTTTATGATGAATGGTCCCTACTCCAGTCCGAGCCTCCTATCGTCATTTTTCGGTAACAATGTTTCACCCTCCTCTATTCCCTTTGCTTTATTGAGGGCAATGTCGATCTTAAGTGTGGAGGTGTTCTATTTTATATGGGTGTGATGAGTGATGTTGTTTTGCTGGTTTTGGAGCCTAGTCCACTGTCCAAATTTCGATTTGAGGGCTTCAAGTACGTGTTCTTTGCTATCATTTGCCCAGTATGCTTTGAATTGACAGTCTTTATAGTAATATGCAACCTAGGGAGGTAGTGTAGCACTATGGAGGATGTTGATGCAGTTGATTGTATGAATTAGTGCTTTTAGGACACTTGAATCGTGTGGTATCGATGTCTCTCTCCCTGTCATGGGCTCCTGTATCATGTTTTGAAAAAGGTGCTCTAAATTGTGATTTTAAAATAATGTCTCCCGTATGGAAATCAGTGAAAGTGGGTAAGGGGAGACGGGAATTCGTTCCCAACTTCCACCTACTACCTCCAGTCCCCTTACGCCTCTTTTCCCCGCACGAGACTTGAGACATCTGCTCCCGGCATGACCGGTAAGAGCCGCTTCCGACATGGCCGGTAAGAGCCGCTTCCGGCATGGCCGGTAAGAGTTGGGCTCCCTCAAAATCTGGAAAAAATCCCAAAGTACACTAGTTGTTAAAAAAATTCCCAAAATACATAAGTTATAAAAAAAATTCCAAAAGTACACATGTTTGAGCATCACCATTTTTGACAAACGCAGTGAAGATTATCACCGCGTTTGAAAAAAAACGGTGAACATTTCACCGTCTTAAAAAAAAACGGTGACGTATTCACCGTCTTAGTTTAAAACGGTGAAGGCATCACCGTTTTAAACAGAGACGGTGAATGCATCACCGTTTTAATCAAAAACGGTGAGGCCTTCACCGTTTTAATGGTCCACGGTGAAGCGACGCGGATCGCTGACGTGGACCAACGCGGGGTATTCACCGCGTTAGACAAACACGGTGAATACCCCGTGTTTGTTTACGTCAGCGATCCGCGCCGATGTGCTTTCACCGTGGCCGTTACATGCGGTGAGGCGCGGATCGTGGTTTTCTTCCCACGATCCGACGCCTCACAGCACGCCACGTCGACTCGGGAGGAACCGTCTTTGGGAAAAGCGAGGCATTCACCGCGTCCCTCAAAGACGGTGAATGCCCCCTAATAACTGCTGCGCAGTTCCTCCCCCCCCCCCCCCCCCCCCCCCCCTTCCCCCAAACTATAAATACCCCCTTCCCCTCCAACTTACAACTCACCCCACAACAATTTCATTTCTTTCTCCCTCCATTTATCCGCTCTAGTCTCGTTCTAAGTATGCTCTGTGGTTGCGGCTAAGTCCGATCTTCCACATCAGAAAGAATTACTAGAGTTTGACCCTAAAGCCCCCGTCCCGCTAAGTTCCCGTCCCTTACAAACCTAAACCCGTCGAACCTCTGTCCGGCTTCCGCCAAAAAATGGACGAAGAGGCTCTTCGTGTAGGTTTTTGGTTTATGATTTTTTTTAATCGAAACAATTTGATTTTGTGTTTTTTTTTATCAAAACAATCTCTGATTTCATTACTTTTTTATAGATGGGTGCCGAGATATACGATTCTCGATTGTATATCCATTATGGCCCAAGGGATGCGAGTCTCTTAACCGATCAAGAAGCTCATCGCTCCCGTGCTATTTGGGATAACAATCCGGTAATTTTTTGAGTATTCTTGCTTTATTTTATTATTTTCTAAGGTTTTATTTTGCTTTATTTAATCTAATAAATTGATATTTTCCCTATTTTTTTTAGGAATCTCTTGTACCCGTGGTTGAACGGGGGCATCCACCGTTGAATGCGGGCCAAGTGTCGGTCCCGTGGCTGGTATCTCACATCCAGCAAGAGGTGGAAATCAATGACGAGACACCGGAAGAACAAGTCGAGCGCTACGCCCGCATCTACCTCATCGGTTTGGTGGGTGGATTTTTGTTCCCCGACAAGTCCAACCGGTGGATTCAAGGCATATGGTTGCCATTTGCACAAGTTTTTGTCCACCATTCTTATACTGTGTGAGGCTCGTTTCTCGTGTTTTAAACCTATTTCACGCTAGGTTGTTCTTGTTGGTGATATTTCAGGTCATAGTAAATGAATGAAGGTTTGAGAACGAGTTCGGGGTAGATTGGACGAAATTAGGACGTTCGATGAAAAACTGAGGATTTTATGCGGCCTGCTCATGATTTTACGCGATCGTGCGATGTGGTCGTGCGTGGGCTAGAGCCGATTTTACACGGCCGTGCTGTATGGCCGTGTAATTGGAATCACGCAACCATACTCGTACTGGCCTGCAAGGGCACCCTTTGGTCGTTTGGGTTTTCTAGGAGAGTTACACGGGCAAGGCTGAATTCCACACGACCGTGTAACTTCCCTCGACTAACTAAGTGCAACCCCGCGTTTTGGGAGTTACACGAGCAGACTGGATTTCTACACGGTCGTGTGGTCTGGTCGTGTAATCGGCAAAGTTGGGTTTTAACCACTGTTGTTAAAACCGGACCGGACCGGCCGGGCTGACCGGGAAAAATTAGACCCGTCCATGGTTCCGGAAGCACAAAAACGACAACAAATCTTACCGGCCGGGTGTTGACCGGTTCACCCGGATAATCGGAAGAACCGGCCAATCCGAACCGGCGGTTTGGTGGCTTTAATTCCTGAAACGTTAAGTTACCCAACGTATTAAACTAAAAAAGGAAAAAAGAATAAAAAGAAAATGGTAACATTTACCTCTGTTTCGTGTTCCTGGCCGACATTTTTGGTGGATTTTAATTCTTAAACCAATTACACTTAAAGTTACCTAATGTGTGGAACTATTTATTTATTTATTTATTTTTATAACTAATATTTTTCATTAAATCAGAAATGGTAACCCACTTTTCCTTTTTGGATTTGTCTGCTACCTTCTCCTTTTTTTCCCTTCCGCATAATCGCATATCACTGCTTCTCCAACAATTAGGGAATTAGCTATACATTTACTCCTCAGTCCTAAATAACGAACAACCCAGTAAATTGCATCAAGAATTGCCGGCCGAATTTACAATTCACAGTTACGTACTTGTAAAATATACCACTAAAATATGATTATTTTATAAAGATTTGTACGTTACCGGTTTATGATCGGTTTTATACCGGTTAATCATCGGTTATCCGATAAACCTTAAACCTGTCACTAATCCGGATCGGTGACCGGTCCGGTTTTGACAACACTGGTTTTAACCCTATTTCGGGTCTTTGAGAAGGGGATCCAAGTTTTAGAGTTGTAATCAGAGTTTTAGAGAGAGAAAGTGACGAACCCAACCTCCAAGGTGACCTAGATTGAGCTTTGACACCATTGGAGCTCCATTGAAACAACCAGAAGCTGAATTCCATCCTCCACATGATGATTTCTGCATCTGAAGCTGATTTCTCTTCTATCTTTATTTAGTAAACTCCCTCTCTCACCTGGGTATGAAGAACCCTAGATTTGTATGTTAGGTTGGTTGTATGAACCCAAGTACATGATCTTGTGATACTTATTATATTCAATTGAGGCATGATTTCTAAATTGCATGAATCTTTATCACATTCTTGTAGTTTCTGCTTTGAGCTAGAAAGAGAATATTTGCATAGGTTGATAGAACACCCCTAATTGAAGGTGGTGAATTGACTACTTTAGTCAAGAAGTCAATTCACTGCTATGTACCGGATTTAATATAGGAGATGAGGTTTTGCACGTTAGGGCCTCAGTTTGTTTACTCTGGTGGAGGTTAGTCGCCCGCCATGTATTCAGACTAGGAGGGTCATACAATAGTGCTCCTCATACTAAACTGGCATATACCAGTTCCAGTTGTAACTATCAAACCATTTTACTTACGACACCGCTACACCCATATAAGCCGATTTTACAACCTTGATTCATATCATTCCAGCTTGAGACTACATCTTGAACCGAAAATCACGAAGACAATGATAACGCCCAAGTCCAACCCATATGTTTCTGATAACAGATTTGTCTTTTCGTACTACTAACTAGGGGTGGGCATTGGGTGGGTCGGGTGGATTTTGACCATAAAATGCACCCATCCGCGCTTAAACGGATTGATAATTTTTAACCCACCACCCACCCACATTTAGTCTCGGGTTGGGTCGGGCGGATGATGGATGATTTGGGTGGGTTTGTGGGTTCACCCACATCACAATGTATATAATATAAAGGAGTCAACTTGACATGATAATAGGTGAAGAGAGTTATCTGGGGAAACAAGAAGATGAAATAGGGCGAAAAATATCGAATTAGTTCTTAAAATGGATAGAAATTCTATTATGAAAGAGTTTTCTACGGATTGAGATGATTATCAGGTGCAAGGAACTAAGAAAAATAATTTCACAAAGGAAAAAGCAGTGATCTAGGCACAAGAATTAGAGGGAAAAATAAAGGGAAGAAGAGGGGATCGCTATTTGGAAGGTTGGCTTTGAGGTTCAAACTCCAGGAGCAGTCCTAGTTTATGTCTAACATCTCCACTCTCCCCTCTCTAGCGCCGACGACTTTGATCTTTTTGTTGTTGGGTTGAGCGGGTCACCCGCGCATCCACCCACAACCCACCCACCACCCGGCGGATGGCTCCCAGCACAACCCATCACCCATCCATAGACCCACCCACTTAACGAAATTCGGGTCAAATGCAGGTGGGTCGGCCCAAACCCGCGGATGATCCGCCCGCATGCCCAGCCCTACTACTAACTACTAAGTACTAAAGAACTGCAAATTGGACTCCACACTAAAATTGGAAACAAAAAAGAAAACCAAAATCCATCTTTCCGTATATTGATAGCCTCACCACGATACTCCCACAACCGTCAATCGACATGGAAACCCACAACACCCGCCACGGTACTTCTACACTAATAGAGCTTCTAACTCTCTAGGTCCCAAAACAAAACCCTACACCCAACATAGACCAAAACTTTTAGCAGGCACTTGCAACCCCATTTGCAGCTACTTTGTTCTCGTATGATTCACCAACAGTTTCGCCATCATTGGGTGGCATTTCAACTGTTGCTTCATTTTGTTCGGGAACCCCAGTCTCCCCATTCGTCTTCAACTCGATTTCTCCTACTTTTATCGGGCCTTTGGCCAACGTACCACTAGCAGGCTTTTGCAGGCCATCTTTCCCATTCATTGCAACTTCCAATACCTGGTTTTCAAAGGCATGAAGAAAGACGAATCAGGGAATTCATTTCTAGTGAACCCACCATTCAGACCGAGATGAGTTTCACAAGCAGCTATTCTTCCTACCTGCTTCTGCAACTTCTGTTTCGCCCTCTTCTCCTGCATTATCCTTTCACGGGTTGCATAGAACCCAAAATCATTCAGAATGGAAGTCTTGGAAGTACAGGACTTGAAGATTTTAAGAACCTCAATACCCTTCTCTAGGACCACCTGCACCATCCAGCAATCAAAGTGAGAAGATTACGAATGAAAATAAAAGAACAGGAAGACGACACGAATAAATGGTGCAAAACTAGAAGAAGATGCTTCTACCTCTTGAGTATCCCTACTATTAGTTACAGGCTTGTCCTCATTATTCTCAAGTGTAATGTGCCTCAAGGTACTATTCGGCACATCTTTGATGATATGCCACTTGACAGGGAAGCAACCAACCCACTTGTCTTGTTGCCAATACTCCACAGTTCTCTCAAAATCAACGGGACCAACCATTTCGGCCAAACCAACAAATTGACCACTTGTATTCACCTGCACGCAACAGAGATTTTGCTGATAAGAGACTCCTAGGAAGAAACCAACTAGGTTAACTGAATATCTCGAAGGCACTTACCGAAAACAATAAGAACACTGGACAGTGACCAGCCTTGGCACTGGCCTCTCTGTAAGCTGCATCAAGTTTCTTATTACCGTTCAGCGTGCTAGTCCAAACACCATATTTGATGCTCTTATGAACATCATCTTCACTGTATGATTTAATAACAAAGAACTTGCCATCTGTGTACTCTTCTGGGAAATCCTCCCTGTTATATTGTTCCTTGTCTAAAATTCCGCTCGGATTCTCCTCCTTGTTGTTCCCTGTTGTAGAATTGGTCTGCCCCTCGGGAGCAGAGTGAACACCAAAGTCCTTTTGACTTCTAGAACTATTGGCCCTGGGGCCTTTGTTCAGCTCTCCTGAACCATCCATGTTCTGATTGCCATATGCACGGCCTTTTGACTTGTACCTGTCAGCAGCCATCCAACCACGCCCATTGCTCCAATCATTATAACCAAAGGAATATCCAGTGCCTCGGTTTCCATAACTGTCGTACATTCTGTTGTTTGGATACATCATGTAACTAGAGCCTTGTCCAAGACCTGGTACTGGCCTAGTTGAATGTGAATTCTGTAATAACAGTGAACAAAAATCACTAACTCTTGGTAGCCAGAGCATTTAAGTGGTGGACTTCATTGGTAAACAAGAAAGGATTTTGTGTATGCACATACCATTGAAGAGGAAAAGCCGCCTCCTGAAATATGTCCAGATTGACTCCCGGCGAACATATAGGGATCAACCCAAGGGAATGTTTGTTGAAATGCCTCAATGGAAAATCTTGGATCCTGATAACTTGATGTCGGGTATGTTGTCCCAGAATTTCCCCTTTTGAAGGAACCATTGGAGTATGAATATGAATTCTGATTACTTGGTCGGAAAGTAGACTTCAATCCATTATTTTTGTTCAGACTGCCCATGTTCCCAGAGTTTGTCCCAGCAACCGGCAGAGGGACTTTGTCGGTCACAGATGCAGTTGAAACCTCCCCTGGTGAGGGGCTAACTTGGCCAAGTGTACCATTGGAACAAGGAAGCTGATAAAAAGGACTAGGATACTGGTATTGCTGGGTCCCATACAACTGGCTATCATGGGTTGGACCAGCAGAAGCATTTGATGAAGAAAATGTTCCATAGGGATAACCTTGGGGATAAAAAGCCGTATCACCATCTCCTAACCCAGCCTGCCAATAAACAACAAGTTGTCAATGCTCAACCTATGACATAAAGAAGAAGAAAAGAGCATATTAGCAGGACAACTGGACCTCATTACATACAAGATGGTGCTTAATCCAGTGTTTATACCAAATCTAAGTATGAATAAAAATGAGAATAGAGGTAGAACTGACATGAGATATCTCAATCCCATCTGGATTTACATGTCTACTGTAGTCGTTCCAATCATAACCTGAAGAATGATGAATATTTTGCAACACAGCGTTACTGACCATGAAAAACACATATCACTCATCGATCTTAAACTAACCTAGGAATCTCAGGTTCACGCCTACTTTGAAAGGACGTTAGACAGCAATGCCCTTAATGTGGAGCTTACCTCCGTAATAGTATGCAGACAACGGGTATCCATTAGGATAATAGAACGAATTTGGGTCTACAAGAGGGGTTGTGGAGCGAGTAAATGGCATGGCTTGGTTATTAGCCAAGTCATTTGGTCCATATTGACTAGTTGACAGCTATAACAACCAATTTACCATACGATCAGGGAAACTAAACGAAAAGGGGTACAAATAACTAAAGCTGGTAAAATTGATTAATCTCAAGCTTGATACTTACCTTCTTTGCTGGATCCGGAACATCAGCTGTCTTGGCCTGCGAGTCTAGTGACAACTTTTCTAATAAACCTGCAGTTTCTGTGGAGTAAGAGTATAAGGATACACCAATAAAGACAAACCCACAGACTTGACCTCAAACCAATGCACAAGAATTGATCACATGACCCCAAGAGAAACTATAATTCACAAATGAACCAATCGATGGGAAAAGGAAAGTGTTCCCTTGACAGAAGTCGGCCTAGGAACAAACCTGATATAATCTCCAAAACAAAGGCTCAGCACCCAATTCATAACAGCAAACATGGATATATACATTCATCCATAAGAAATTCAACATGAAGAAACAGAAAGAGAAAGCCAGAGCACACCCACAGGCTCAAATCTAAAACCCCAGCAAAACCCAATAGCCCCACCAAACTCCACAGGCCGGAAACAGAACCAGCAAGAAACCAATCACAGAGAAGAAACCACAATAAGCAAATCTTGAGAGCTGGTTCAAACTGGAATGGACGAATTTTCAGATACAACAGGAACAAAATCAGAGAGAAGCAGTTAGATTTACGGGGGCGGCGATAGCAACCAAGAAAGGGAAATCAGACAATTCAAGAAACAAAAGCCAATACCCAGTTCAGGGAATTCTGGAAGGATACGATCAGCAGAAGCAACGACCGCCATAACCGGCACAGATTGAACGAAGAAAGAGAGAGAATTAAGTAGAGAGAGGGAGAGGGAAAGAATGGAGGGAAAAGGAGCTACACCCAAGAAATAAGGAGGAAAAAAAGAAGGGTAGGGGTTCAGGGGCGAGGCGGCAGAAGAAGAAACTGGTATGGAGCTCAGCTAGAGAGAGAGTAGCCGCCACAAAACTCAAAAGACTACAGAGAGGGCCAAGGGTGAGAGGTTTAAGAGACAAAACCCTCCTCCACGGTTCCACTCGTATCCCTTTCTCTATTTCTTCCCCCTTTTTCTTTTCAGTCATTTTATTTTCTATTTCGGGCTAAAAATGCTAATCTGGTACTTCTACTTTTATGATTAGGTCTATCAGCTTCCGAACTTCAAAACCGGTAATTTAACGACCTTAACTGCTCCCAGAAGTTTACCAACCGTTAGATCTTCCTTCGGCATTTCATTACGGATCCGACGGCGTATCGAGTTCAGCGTGCCCTTCACCTACCCTTCCGGCCTTCCCCAGATTCTTCTCTTTTGCCTTTTCTTCTTGTTCAGCGACAAAATTTCACAGAAATGCTACTCCACCAACCCAAACTCCATCATCGACCATGGCTTCCGCAGCCAATGCCATCTCCCTCTCTCTTTCCGTCGCCGCCGCCTCTTCTTCTTCATCCCGCAGGGACAATTACTCTTACTCGCCGGAGTCTTCCTGTCTCAGCTTCCGAAAGCCTAGCGGTGGTGTGTCTCTGCGTTTGAGACCGGTGGCGGGAGCTTCGTTGGCCACTCGCCGTTCGAGCTGTATTGTTCACGCTACTTCTGCTCCGGTTATGGACCAATCGCCGGTCAGTGAATCTGGTTCCGCTGGAGCGCCTACTGTTGTGGAAGTCGAATTGGGGAACCGGAGTTATCCTATTTACATTGGATCCGGCCTTCTGAACCAGCCCAACCTTCTTCAAAGGTGTGGAATTGCATTTTATTTCCCCTCTCAGCTTTCGGTTTGATCAATCATTGGTTTGGTTTGTTTTTATCTGCTTGCCAATTTTCGACTTGTCTGGATTAGCTAGCCTGAGAAATATAACGGTGCATCGATTTCTACGATATGGTTGATAAACGAATGAGCTTTGTTGAATTTGTAGGCATGTCCATGGGAAGAGGGTCCTTGTGGTGACTAACGAAACTGTAGCTCCACTCTACCTAGATAGAGTTGTTGAAGCATTGACACAAGGGAACCCAAATGTGACAGTAGAGAGTGTGGTTTTGCCTGATGGTGAGAAGCACAAGAACATGGTACGTTTGCCATCAAGTTGATTTCAGTTCTAGGGCTGTGGTTATGCAATGGTTACAGAGATTATTTAGCTAAATAGGGTTGGTTTTCTGCTGATAGGATGTTCTCATGAAAGTATTTGACAAGGCAATTGAGTCACGGCTAGATAGGAAATCTACATTTGTTGCTTTGGGTGGAGGAGTCATTGGTGATATGTGCGGATATGCTGCTGCGTCATACTTGCGAGGTGTTAATTTCATCCAGATTCCCACAACTCTTATGTCGCAGGTTTTTCTCTCGTGTTAAACCCCTTTTTTCACTTTCTTATGTCATGGGTCTTTCTTCTTTTTGGTTTCCTTGAATTTTGTGTCCCTTTTTTCAGGTGGATTCTTCTGTCGGAGGTAAAACTGGCATAAACCACCCGCTTGGGAAGAACATGATCGGTGCATTTTACCAGCCTCAGTCTGTTCTGATAGACACCGACACGCTCAACACATTGCCAGATAGGGAACTTGCATCAGGTATTAGTGAGGTTGTGAAGTACGGGTTGATTCGTGATGCTGAATTTTTCGAGTGGCAGGAGAAGAATATGTCAGCACTATTGGCAAGGTATTCTACATAATTCCAGAGACAGTGTCTTGACACCTTGCTTATGCTGAAGTACTATAGAAGTGCACCTTGTGTTCGAGCTTGGTTTAGCTATGATCAGTTTTATAGGCTAGAACTCATAGTTGATCAGCAATTTGCATTATACTCTAATGGATAATAATTTGATTCGTGAGTTGGACTGCCAACCCCGTTTGGCACTGCAGAGATCCAAGTGCTTTAGCTTATGCCATCAAGCGATCATGTGAAAACAAGGCTGAGATTGTGTCCTTAGATGAAAGAGAAACTGGACTGCGGGCAACTTTGAACTTAGGTCACACTTTCGGCCATGTAAGTGCTTGACTATTGACCTCATGCTGACCATCATCTTGAGCCCCACCTTACTAATTTAGTCCCTGCTTGTTTGATGCATGTTTCAGGCAATAGAAACTGGGTTTGGATATGGGCAGTGGTTCCATGGGGAAGCTGTGGCAGCTGGCATGGTTATGGCTGCTGACTTGTCTTACCGACTTGGTTGGATTGATGATTCACTCGTTAAGCGGGTTCGGAACATTCTAGAGCAGTCTAGGCTTCCTGTTGCTCCTCCAGAGAGCATTACAATGGAAATGTTCAGATCCATCATGGCGGTAGATATCATCACCCCTTTGCTTTAGCAACGAAGCTCTTAGATCCTCCTCACTCCTGACTTCATGTTACTTGCCATTTGCAGGTTGATAAGAAAGTTGCTGATGGGGTGCTAAGGCTTATCCTCCTGAAAGGTCCTCTAGGCAACTGTGCATTCACAGCAGATTACGATAGGAAAGCTCTTGATGATACACTCCAGGCATTTTGCAAGTCGTGAACAATAGTGTTCTTATCTTCTTTGAGCATATGTTTCTCTTTCCTTCTGTGATCAAATTATTCCTACTTGTAACTCCTGATCAATAAATGTTTGCCCGCTGTATCAGATTTCCCGATGATTTTCTTACATGGCAGAAAGTTCATTTGATGGTCCTGTAGTTGCAACTTTGTTGCATGTCTGGTGATCCAACACTTGAGTTCTGTATGGTTTTAAACTTTTGATTATTGAGCTGCACCAAAATTGACGCATAAATAAATGAGGTATTGGCTACACAGCAAGGTGAAAAAAATTCAGCCTTACCATTGTTGTATTTTGTTTCTCTCGCAACCCTCCCTCGACAAAATGTGGTGTCTAGTTACCATCGTATTTTGTTAGAAACAATGTCCTAACCACTTGTTCAGTTACACTTTCAGTGCTTGCAGAAATAGCCAATTAGTCAATTCACTATCAAAAGTCCAGGAATTCAGTCACCCTTGATACCTACTCTCTACAACCCTTGGCTACAAAATTAGCAGCCACCTGCAACCAGATTTGCAGCGGTAGCTTTGGTCTCATGCGAGTCGACAACCGATTTCACATCCACACCAGCTACTCCGATTACTCCATTCGATCCATCCTTTTCCGGATGCTTCAGAGCAGCTCCGTCAGGAATCACATTCACACCGGGTTTACCTTCAGAGACCTATGTTCATAAAAATGGGAAGTCATTGACGCTTAACAGGCTGATCGTAGGACAATCAAAGGACACGGTAGACATTGCAGGACACATTCTTACCTGCCTTTGAGTCCTCTGCCTAGCCCTTCTCTCTTGCATTACCCTCTCACGAGCTGCATAAAACCCAAAATCATCCAAGATAGATGTCTTCACCACATAACTCTTGAAATTTTTTAGAATCTGAATGCCCTTCTCACTGTCGACCTACAATTAAAAAAATACTAAACAAAATTAGTAAATGACAGGCGGAAGGGAAAACAATCTAATTTTTTACACGCCAAGAAAATGTTCAGCACCACGCACCTCCTGAGTGTCCCGACTATTAGTTACAGGTTTGTTTTCATTGTTCTCAAGTGTAATGTGTCTCAAAGAACTGTTTGGTATGTCCTTTACAATATGCCACTTCACAGGGAAGCATCCCTTCCATTTCTCTTGCTGCCAGTGCTCCACAGTTTTGTCAAAATCAACACGACCAATCATCTCAGCCAAGCCAACAAATTGCCCACTCGTGTTTACCTGAAATAAACATTCAGCAGAGGACCAGAAGTCATTATTAAGAAAGTAGAGAGATAATACCATAGATTACTGCAGCAACCAATGGATCAATCCCAAAATACTCACAGAAAATAGTAAAAATATGGGGCCACCGCCAGGATTTGCTTGGGCTTCCTGATAAGCTGCATCCAGCTTTTTATTTCCATTAAGTGTGCTAGTCCAAACACCATATTTGATACTCTTATGTACGTCGTCTTCACTGTATGATTTGATGACAAAGAATCGGGCTTCTGTATAGTCCTCCTTGAAATCTTCCCTGTTATACTGTTCAAACTTCTCCTCTTTATTAGTCTCGGTTGCTGGAATGTTTTGCCCCTCCACAGCAGCTTCGGTGCCAGTAGCTATCTCCTTGTGGTTCTTAAAACTCTTGGCCCTAGGTCCCCTGTTCAACTCACTTAACCCGTCTATATTCTCATTGCCATAGCCACGACATTTTGATTTGTACTTATTATCGACAACCATCCAACCATGCCCATTTGTCCAAGAGTTATAGCCAACAGATCCATAAGGACCATACATCCCATTAGGTGGGTACATCATGTATCCAGTACCTTTGCCAAAGGCAGAAGTAGGTCTTGTTGATTGTGAATTCTGAAATTACCCCACGACTAACATAAATATACTATGTTGGTAATCGAAACTAATTCACTCTTTTGTATGAATCTAAATACAAAATCTACTACTGTGAAGCATTAGATGTCATCTTTCATTTTCCAATAGCTTTTAACAATTAAATTGGGAAACAAAACTCTTAACATAAAACAGAATGGTCACCAAGTGAGACATCATCTCAGTAGTTGCCTCCCAGATGTATTACTATCATTGGATTAACAAAATTATAGCTGATCAAGGTTATGACTTTAAAGAAGACGTTGTCCACATGGAAAAGGAAAAGACCGTAAGAAAAACAGATACAGAAAGGATCCACATACCAGCCCTGAAGAGAAACCGCCACCACTTCCATGTTTTGATGGCCCATTAGAAAGCACAGGAGCATCCAACCAGGGGAATGACTGAAATCCACCGTAACCCGGCCACAGATCCTGATAACTTGATGGAGAATAAGTTGTTCTGCCACCTCCATTTTTATAAGGAACACCTGATTTTAAAAAAGAATTTTGGGTACTTGGTTTGAAAGGTTTTCCATTATTTTTACCTAGACCTCCAGCATTCCCCCCAGTTGCCGTTCCAACACCCAAGGGTACTTTGTCACAGGTGGCTTTAGCTTGAATCTCTGTTGGAAGGGAACCAACATGGCTGTAAGAGTGAAGGGTATTATCTGAAGAATGATATTGCTGTGTACCCTGCAGATGGCTATCCGGGGGAGGCATATATGATCCAAAAGGCAGATAACCATAACCTTGGGAGAACATAGCAGCATCGTTGTCATGAAACATACCCTGCCATTGAGTAAACCATTCATCATAAACTGAAGACATTCATTCATTCAATATCACTTCTTCGCAATCATACCAACAGGAGGTAATCACTAGAGATAAAAAAAAAAGCATTTATAGAACTAACATGTTGCATCTCAACTCCATCAGGAGTTACAGATCTACTATAGTCATTCCAGTCATTGCCAAGTCCATCATACCCTGAACAAGGAAGAACAATTAACAAGAGTAACCAAGTAAGTTTCAGTTACTTCCCAGGAATGGTGATTCATCTTGGTTCTCAGCTTACCCCCATAGTAATAAGGATTGTGGAAATAGTAAGGGCTTGGGTTAACATGAAAAGGGCTTGCTGAGCGAGGCAATTGCTTAGCTGGATTACTAGTCAAGTCACTTGCTCCACACCCATCAGTAGACTGTACCAATCAAATTTAGCATCGGATCAATAATGAAAGAAAGAAAGGAACAGTGAAAAAAATATCAAAACAGAGATGCTTACATACTTTCTCTACATGATTTGAAATATCTGTAATCTTTGTTTGAGATTCCAATGACAGGTTCTCCAGTAAATCTGCAGCTTCTGTAACGAGATGAGTAAAGAATACAACCAACAAACAAACCAAGAGCTCCAATAAAAAAGTTCAAATCTGCCTCGATTTCCGACGCAAAAGACACTCCTGTTGACAAATGAAGCTCACCCCAAAGGTCATAGGTAACAGCAGTGGCTCTTACCTCCCAACACTTAAACACACGGCCAGAAATGAAACAAAAAATGAAACTAGCACGAGCGTGCTCGCACAGCCTATTCCTTCTAGTTTGGGACAATATCAGCAAGCTATTTCATTCCCACTAATCGTAGCTTCCATTTCTAAGCCTCTGCATCATACTACAGAAAATAAAGAAGAAAAGCAACCAGTTACGCACATCTAAAACCTCAAATCCAAACCCTTAAGAAACCATTTGAGAGGAAGATAAAATTCACACAAGGAATTGGAATATTGCAATGGATACAAGGAAAGCGATCGATTGAGAACATGGGAAGCAAAACTCTAGCAGAAGTGAACGAATCGTCAGAGAGAGGATACGACTGGCGGATGAAGCAACAACGGCCATGGTTGCAGGGTGACAACTGACAACTGAGAAGAGAAGTTGGAACTGAAGAGGAAAGAAGCGTCGGCAGGGGCAGGGTAGGAGAGAAGCAACGAAAAACCCTAGAATTTATAAAGAGGAAGGTTTTAAGTTTTAATTTGGATAGATTTATATATAGATTTTCCCTTTTATTTGACTTTCCATTATTTCTCTCCTCTAGTTCTCAAGTTCGCGTCTGACTTGTTTGTTTTAAAATAGCAAACTTTCTTTTCTAACTAGAGTTTCTTTTTGAAATATTGTCTCACCAAAGAGGTTTTAGGACATTCGGTCAGTTCGGTTTCGATCGAATCGAAATTACGAATACCGGGTTTCCGAATTTTCCCAAACCTCAAGATCGAATTCGAACCGAATTATAATTTGGTTCGTCGGTTTAAATCGAATTATAATTCAGTTCGGTTTTTCACACAAAATCGAATTTGTGAAACTACCTATATCTTCTCACTTTTAAATTATTTTTCACCCTAATATAAACAATAAATATGCAATTATATACATCATCAATGATAAAATCAAATTTTCAACACATAAGTCATAAAATATTTCAAATATTTAAGTCTAAAAACAACTACAAACATAAAAATCCACCATTTGGAGCTTGCAATTATAGTATTTCGGTTTTTCGGTCGCAAATTCGATTCGGTTGAAAGAACCCTGATTTCCGAACTATCCATATTTTTCTTCCGAATTCCGAACCGAATAGCATTAATTCGGTTTCGGTTCAGTTTAATTTGGTTTCGGTTCGGGTTTACCGAACCGGGGTGGAGGGCCGGTCGGTTCGATTATAACCGATAACCGAAGAGTTGGTTATCGGTCAAACGAACCACCTCCCAACCCTACCGATCACCGATCGAAAGAGGGCTTAACCTTTCGGTTAACTCGGTTTTTGGTTAACCGAACAACCCCCAAGACCAAAACCATATCACCCAGCCTCTGAACTCCAATCGAGTTTCTGTTATCTCGATTATCGGTTAGTGGATAACCGGCCAGTTTCGGTTGTAATCGATTGGTTAACCGCTAACTGATTGTCTAGCCCTATTAACAAGAATACAAGATAGAGGACAAGCTTCCTCTTCGTCTATTTAGAAAGCATATTGGCTAAACTGGCTGATTGTTTAGAATGGTTGTTGTCAATCAAATTTATGTTGGTCGAAATTTAGCTAACTATTAACAGTAGACAATATCACTGCATGATTTAGTTTGTCTAATTCTCTTGATCTTCATTATCAATTTGGACGGACGATCCACGTGTTGACTTCAAAACTGATAGCGATAGCTTTCTTCCTACCATTGCTCCATAAAATTGCAAAAAACAAATCACCGGTAGTTGTCTGCACAAGGGTCCCTATGATGCCCAAGTCAGTAACTAGCGAAAATTAGGGGGACTTGACCTCCTTTAGTATGAACAAGGTTGAGAGCATTAGTCTAAGCCTTCCATAGAAATATCCCCATGATAGGAAGGTGAGAATGTTAGGTGACTATGAGCAGAGATTTGGCTTGTATATGTAGCTTCCCTATACTCAAATATCTTGGTGTACAAGTCACATGCTAATACGTGTGTGTATATATTGTCGTACTCTCAAAGTATACGATACTTTGTGTGTTTCTAGTGTGATATCTCTATCTAGACCATTAATTAAACTCATAATGAAGTACAACAACGATTAGATCATTTGGATAAACATGCATATTCATATACACACCATCTAAGCCAGCATACACATGATTTCTCCTTAAGAAATTTTAATCCCCTATAGTAACCAATGTTATGAAATAATTCCCCCCATTATAATTGGGTCATCGGTACGATTCAGTTTACTTCCAAATTACGATACGATAGAGTACCCAAAAAATCAAATCGACCGAATCCAGAACCGAAGATGATGGATCAACAAAGACAAGCCTACAACATCACTAGAGGGTCCAATTACACGTCTTAAGGCTAAGAGGAATTTGCTAGCTATTTGAATCTTTATCTTGATGATATGGATGTGGACCAACACAAAGGGAAGCCCATTATGGTGTTGCGATTCATTAAAGGAGTTGAAGGAGATCAAATAGGCTTTGAGGAAGAAGGTGTGGCCAAGAGGAGAAGAATGGGCTTTTAAGTGTTCCTTAGCCTAAAAGGAAGACCATATCCTTAACCTAGAAGGAATGAAGGTCTGAATGGAATCTCATGTGTGGAAGGAATGAAGGGGCAGATTTGAAGACTTAAAACAAGGGTTGAATGGGTAAAAGTAGGTTTTCCTTTTACTTGTAGGATTTGGTTATTTATTTATTTTCTTTTTATTTTTTGGATTCGGGTTAGAGAGTCTATAAATAGGGGCTGAATTCTCCATTGTAAATCATCAAGTTTTTAATCAATCAAAGTCAAGTTTCGAGTTCATTACGAACGAGTTTCTTTTGTGCAACTTTTTGTCGAATGAATTCCAGAAAGTTCACGTGTCTCTTATCAACTAAAGATCGCGTCTAGTTGTGGCGAGCATCTACCTAATAGGGATTGGCTTTATCCACGAGTGGGTAATTGTATGATTGGTTCAATATACCAATTGGCCCTTCGCATGAGTTGAGATATGTTTGATATGTTCCACCATGATCTTTAATTATTTCGGGTTTTAGAAAAAGAGATCAAGAAAATCAAGAAAGGTCATAATATCAAGAAAACGAAGAAAAGATCATTGAAGTTGCGTACTTTGGTCACATCAAATAATATCTGGAGCCTGATTCGCAACGGAGAAGAAGCTTCTTAAAGTTCTTTCATGTTCTTGAAGCTTCTTGATCGAGTTCTTGAAGGTATCTTGAAGAGTCTTGGACAAAGGAAAGGTTCTTGAAGCCTTTCGAAGTAATATTGAGGAGTTCTTGTTGGTTTTCAAAGCAAGAAACACTTCTTGTGCCGCAAGAATAAAAGTATCAATGAGAGCAATGACGGCTCAATTGGAGGCGATCTCACAAGCATTAGCTACACAAGCCACACACTCTGCAAGCATAGATGCAAAGTTGGAAACTCTCAAAGCAAGGCTACCAAACCCTAACCCTAACCCTAATGTTGAGAGGGCTAGGAGGGAAGAAGAATAAGGGGTTGTTCACCAACCCTTGATCGAGCAAATTAGGCGCCATCGCTATTTGGGGATGCCGGGCACACGACAAGGAAGGCAAGTACGGTGATTATGATACCTACCCACGAGAAGTTGAAGATGAGTTGAAGAACATAAAGGTCATCTTTTAGAGGCACCACCGATCCCGAAGCTTATCTCTATTGGGAAAGAAAGATTGAGATGATCTTTGATTACAACAACTACTCCGAGAGGAAAAAAGTTCAAGTGGCAAAACTAGAATTTTCGGATTATGCTATCGTATGGTCGGATCAACTCTGCACGAGAAGAAGAAGGAATAAGCAGCATCCTATTGAGACGTGGGCAGAGATGAGAGGCATCATACAAGACAAATTTGTTCTTAGCTGTCATCATAGGGAGATGCATAAGGCCCTACAATTTCTACTACAAGGTACCAAGAGTTTAGAAGATTACTACAAAGAGATGGAGATGCTAATAATTAGAGCGGATCTAGAGGAAGATAGTGAAGCCACCATTGCACGATTCTTACAAGGCCTCAATCAAGAAATCAGGAACATGGTGGAAATCCAACCTTTTCTGGATAGCAACCTTGGAAGAAGGTTCGTACCTCCCTCAAGCGCACCAAGGCCAGGAGTGCCTTTTACATCAAACCATAGGCCAACCATAAAAGCACCAAAACCGACAGCCAAGTAGAAAGAACTGTAAGCTCTAGTGGAGGCATTCAATGCTTCAAGTGCCATAGAAGGGAACTATGGCCAACCATTGTCCCAAGAGAAGGGCTCTAATCATGTTGGAGAATGGAGAATATGTCTCGGATGCTGAAGAAGAGGAGCACACAAAGAAGACATCCGATGTAGAAGTTAACGAATCAATCGAGATGGAAGCACCACCGGGAAGTCTCTTTGTTACCAGGAGGATTCTAAGCGTGCAACCAAAAGAGGAGCTTGAACAACGAGAGAACTTGTTCCATATGAGATGCATGGTGGATGGAAAGTTAATCTCATTGGTGATTGATGGAGGAAGTTTCACTAACCTTGTAAGTGCACCTTCGGTTAAAAAGTTGGGATTAAGTACGATGAAGCATCCCAAACCCTATAATCTCCAATGGCTCAATGAAGATGGGTAGATCAAGGTTTCGAGGCAAGCATTATTGAAATTCGAAATTGGAGGCTATAAGGGCGAGGTCCTATGTGAAGTGGTGCCTATGCAAGCTGCACACGTCTTACTTGTAAAGACCATGGCAATTTGATTGAAGTGCACAACATAATGGGGTCTCCAACAAGTACAAGTTGATGCAAAAAGGGCAGAAGTTTGTGTTGAAGCCCTTATCTCCCAAGGAAGTCTATGAGGACCACATTCAAATGCAACAAGATAGGGAGAAAATGATGGAAAAAGAGTCTAGAATCACGAGCAAGATAAAGCAAGGTGGATTGAGTGTCATGGAGTCCAAGACATTGACGATAACACGCAGTGGCGATGTGAAAAAAGCGGTGAACGATTGTGAATCTATGATCATGTTCATCTACAAGGGCGTGCTAATCAATCAAGAGCTCATTCAAGACATACCACATAGGGCAAGAGTGGTATTTGAAGAATTTGATGATGTCTTTCCCGAGGAAGCTCCAAAATGCCTACCTCCAATCTGCGGGGTAGAACATCAAAATGACTTCGTTCATGGAGAGACCATCCCAAACACGAAAGCTTATAGGACGAATCTAGAGAAGCTGAAGGAGTTGCAGAGGCAGATTGATGAGCTTATGGAGAAAGGACATATTCGAGAAAGCATGAGTCCTTGCACATTTCATGTCATCCCCGTGCCAAAGAAGGACCATACGTGGAGAATGTGTGTTGATTGTCGGACAGTCAACTAGATAAAAGTTAAGTATCATTATCCTATACCTTGTTTGGATGATATGCTTGACAAATTGCATTGTTCTGGCTTGTTTCCGAAGATTGATTTGAGGTCGGGTTATCACCAAATCCGTACA